AATAAAAATGGCAACCCCCACCCACACACACACACACACACACACACACACACACACACACAACTAAATTAACAACATTTTAAAATGAAAATGAAAATATAACAATTAATTAAAAATATTAAAACTATAATAGTGTCTCAATTATACTAAAATAACTCTGTAATATTCTAGGCTTTTCCAATAAAGAACCTACTTGTGGTACTTTTGATGGTAGGCTACTTATGACCAGTGTTGGGGAGTAACTAGTTACATGTAACTAAATTACGTAATTTAATTACAAAATAAATGTAATTGTAATTAGTTACAGTTACTGATAAAAAATGTGTAATTAAATTAGTTACTTATGAAAATGTTAACAATTACAAAGGGGGTTATATCAGATTTTTTTTTCACACACACCCATACAGATTTCATTGATTTCTTTTATAAATTGTAGTGACTGCTCTAAAATATGACAACAATGTTTCAGGAGTTTAGAACAGGACACATGCTTATTTGTAACTGTTTTATTTACTATTTTGGATTTATGCATATGCTTTATTTTTTAAGATTAACTTTTTTTTTCCAAAACATTGTTAGATGCCAATTGTTTCCTGTCATAACTAAAGATTTGATTTCAAAAACAGTATCATATAGCTACTAAACTATTTCTTGTTATGCTTTTAAATCTGTATTAAACCTCAGAATGATCTCAAAGTAAGTCTTATTTTGTGGTAGTGTTTTAAAATTAATTTATTATAATCTTAGTTCAAGGGATGAAGGATTTGGAAAATGACACTAATCAGTGTTGAGTACTGGGTGAGCAGGCTACTGTATCTTACCTCAGCCAAACACTTAACCTTATGTTTTAGCTGTAAAATGATTTTCAAAGATTATTGGAGTATGCTTTACAAGAAATAGTATTATTTCAGTCTTTCTGTTAAAAAGTAACGTTTAATTCAATGTGTTACTTGCCGTTTCTTTGTAAGTATTTGTGTAATCTAGCAATTTTTGAGCGAAAATTATTTCGAAATAAATACTAGGCCTATACCACTTTTTTCCCCCTCCAGTCAGTGTGATACAGCAGCATTTCCATAATGAAATAATACTGCCATCTGGTGATGTGAAAGCAGTTTAGTTGTTATCGCATGAATTAGACCAAATATAATGTGTAGGTTTATCATTTCAAAATTACTGGAATGTATGCAATTGAAAGAGCCAAGAGGTGAAAACTTTTAAAGACTTTTAATAACAACATCCTTTTTAACTGCTTCACGTCAGATCACTATTTCCTGGTGTATGTGCCCTAGTCCCCGGGCTTCCTTCTGTCTAGAAATCTTTTTCTCACGGCCCGCGCTGAAAAGGTGCGGTCTCTCTTCCCATCGTGAGAACTTTCACACGCGTTTGGCTGGCAGCCGTCCTCAACGTACTCTCGCGATAACAAGGGACCCGCTCTCATACGCTCCCATAATAAGCGACCGTGAATTCTCGCGTGACTTCAGAACTTTCCCACGCCTGTGCCCCCCTTCCTGCATTATTTTTCACACTGCCCATCCCCCTCGTCTTTTGCGGTGTGTTGCGGAGCGGGGGAAGTCTCGCGATTGTTGGCGTTATTAGAGAGAGTTGGTGAAGATGGCGCCTGTTGTGACAGGGTAAGCAGCGAAATTACCAACGGACGGGGCATGGAAAAGTCACAGCTAAAATAAGTTTTGTCTGTTTAGTCAAGATCATTTGCTTTGGTTTATTTCTTTACACCCACGGCCGCGTGTCTCTGCGCTGTTGGCCTGTCTCGGCGTACTTTTGTGTGGTTTTTGAGGTTTTCAACGATGAGCTCTTTTATTCAGTTAGCCGCTTAGCTTTTAGTTAGCTGATAAATTTTCAGCAGTTTTCCATAAACACTGTATACTGTGGAGAGCAAATATTTAACTGTAAACACAGTAAGGTTGTATTAACGCCGTGTTTTGAAGCTTTAACATTAACATTTAATCTTTAAAAATACTTGTATAAAATTTGAGCCAACTTGTGAGTTGGTGTACGAGAGAGAGTGAGAGAGGGGCAGGTTGGCAAATGTTAGCCAGCCAAGTTAGCTGGTCTAGTGGGTTCATAACAGAAACTGGGAGCTTTCGAGAGGACTCAAAACGTTCTCTTTGTTTCATGTCAGACTTCTCAGTTAAACTACTTTTAGCTTAAAAATGGTGTATTTGTAACGTCCCGTCATTTCTATGTAAAATGCTCATATCTATTTCAACTTCTAGGCTTATTATGGCTTGCATCTCAAAACCTAGTGAGCTGTCTAAATAGACAGATAGGGGCATCTCATGCATGCTTGAACTTGTTTATCCTGCTCAAAATGCTGTCTTTCTTGGTAGACATAACTTTTTATTATTTTTGAGTGTGGATCAAAGTGATGTTTGAAGTTGTCTTACTTTGTTTTGTAGGAAATTTGGGGAGCTCCCTCAGCCAAAGCGTTTAACAAGGTAAAGGCACTGTTAAGTTCATGTGTAATATTTATTAAATATATATTAGGAAACAACAGCTTAAATAAATAAACTTTTCTGTTGTATTTTGTGGGTTTGCAGGGAGGCAATGCGCAACTACTTGAAGGAAAGAGGAGATCAGACAGTACTCATACTGCATGCAAAAGTCGCACAGAAATCGTACGGCAATGAAAAAAGGTGAGTGATGAATTTGATCTGTAAACACATGTATTATTAACTGTTTATGTGTGTTGTATACAGGTAAGTCAGTCAACATGAAATCACAAGTGAGCCTATTAAGGTTAATACAGATTTCAGGTCTTATAGTGGATGATTAATCCGTAAGGAAAAATGTTTAGGCCTGGTTTTAACATCTGTCTTGAGTAATCGAGCATAAATGTTCAGCTGAGAGACAATGTTTACACCTGTGATTGGATTTCATTTGAAAGCTTCGACCTCTGTATTCATCCATATATGTATGTTGGTCATTGATGTCCTTTGCTGTTTTCTGAAATGCATTTCTGATTACTGTAATTTATTACATGCATTTCTGATTACTGTAAAAGGTGGATCTTAAACATTTAAGTGACCCCAATAGATGTTAATGGGGTCATAAATATGACTGTTTGCGGTTCAGACAAGTCTTGCACTACTCTTTTGCTTGTGGAATATCCTGTTTTACTTGTATATTTGACACATTTTGGATGTAAAATGGATTACGTTTCATGTCGACTGTGAATCAAGCTTTGATAAAGTCCAGTTAAGCACACTTAATGTAAATGAAGTTAGGGAGATCTATGTAAAATCAGATTCCTTCTACAAGCGTCAAAGTGAATTTTTCTTTAATCATTTCAAATACTCTTTGAATCTGTTAGATTCTTCTGTCCTCCACCATGTGTTTACCTGATGGGTTGTGGCTGGAAGAAAAAGAAGGAGCAGATGGAGAGAGAGGGCTGCTCGGAGCAGGAGTCACAGCCTTGTGCCTTTATAGGCATTGGAAACAGTGAACAAGAAATGCAGCAGCTCAACTTGGAGGGCAAGGTGCTTTATGGATTTTATTATGGCAACACATGTATTGTAACTGCCTTTCTAAAATAATTTCAAGATCAGTGTTCTGGCATCACAACTTTTGTGCTTTGCTTCTGCAGAATTTTTGCACAGCAAAAACATTATACATTTCTGACTCGGACAAACGGAAGCACTTCATGCTGTCAGTGAAAATGTTCTACGGGAATAGCGCAGATATCGGTGTCTTCCTCAGCAAACGAATCAAGGTCATCTCCAAACCTTCCAAAAAGAAACAGTCGCTGAAGAATGCAGACCGTGAGTCAAAATAATTTTTTATTTGTGTCACTAAATGAGTCTTAATTTGTCCAGAATTTTCACGCAGCTCATTTTCAATGTCTCTTATAGTATGCATAGCTTCTGGGACGAAGGTGGCTCTTTTTAACCGCTTGCGGTCCCAGACTGTCAGTACGCGGTACCTTCATGTGGAAGGGGGAAACTTCCATGCTAGTTCACAACAGTGGGGAGCCTTCTATATTCATCTATGTGAGTTATTCACCACAAATATGCTATATTAAAAGTAGTGCCACACAGAGTTCATTACATCTATTGAAAGAATGTGTAGAAATTACGTATCAGTGTTTTCATGTTTAACATCTGCAGTTTTTCCTGTTAACTATGAATTGGTAATAACGTGTAATTCTGAATTCCAGTGGATGATGATGAGTCAGAGGGTGAAGAGTTTACAGTCAGAGATGGTTATATCCATTACGGTCAGACGGTGAAGCTGGTGTGCTCCGTGACAGGCATGGCTCTACCCCGACTGGTAAGCTATTATCCACTTGATTGTGCATGATTAAAAGAGTTGGGCTAAGAAATTGTGTCCTGTTCAATCAAGGAGTGACATATACAGGGCTTAAAGTTCTCCGGCACCGTGCCGGATCTCAGGCGTGCGGCTGCGGGAAAAAAAAGATAGTCGTCCTACATTTAAAAACACTTGCTGATATCACGTTCGAGTTCATGAGTTCGCCTACCAATGTACGAGAGGAACACAGCTTTCACTCTCAACCAAACTAACATTACTAGCCAATCAGAAGTTTTTGCTCTTATAAACACGAGACACGCATAATAGTATCCAATTGCAGAGTCGCAGCTGATGAATTGAAAAGAAGCCTGGGTCTTGAGCGTGACACATTGAAAAAGCTGCGAGGCGCATCCATGAGAACGATATGATTGCCAGAATGCATTTACCTGTATTTTTGAAAAGGTCCTGTTCACACATGATCTCTTAACGGTAATTCACCAGAAAAGACTGTATGTGTAAAAGGGGCTAAACTTTTACTCTGCATATGTGTTGAGTTTGGGTTGCTTAACGTTCATCTGGGAAAACTCTCTTGATTTGTAACGCAAATCATTTAAACCTATGCCAACACAGGAGAATACATCAACATATTTCTAAATATGTGATGTATTGTACATTGCGATTTCAAAATAAAAGTTTCTGACTTTGCATGTGGCCAAATATTAAAATTAAATGGATTTAAACAGTTGAAATACATGAAACATCACCAGGCCGTTGGCGCCCTCTGCAGATATTTGTTATAATATAGGCATATTACATTATGTATTCAACAATGTTGTTCAATAAAACCATGTACTTGGTTTTGATACTTTATTTGAGGCCAATTATTATTGCCTCATCGTTACTTTATATATAAATATAGTCATATTAAAGCCTGTTTTCCCACTTAGTTCTATTTCTATTACTAAAAAATATCAGATTACTCGCTTGTCAAAATAATCAGATTACTTGATTAGCAAAATAATCATTAGTTAAGCACTAGATTAGTTATACAACTGCATTGTTTTACTTTTTGTGATTAAAAGACAAATATTTTGTCATTTAAAAATTCTTAAAGTATTAAAACATTGTCTCGTTCTAGTGAACCAAGTATCTGCATTTTGTCTCACCTTGTGAGCTAAGTGTATTGTCACACCCCTAGTGCCTATGAGCGTGATAAAGCTCATAATTTTCCAAGTGTATGATACAGCTTTCATTCTTCAAGTCAATCATATATTCATGAAAAAAAACAGTTTGAATAAGGAAAGCGATAACTTTGCCATAGTATCCTTCTAAATGTTAAAGTTGCCAGTCATTGCATTCTTTGCATGTGCTGCACTTTATTTGTACCATTTTGTTTTATTAGTTTATTTATTAGAATTTGAAAGATAATAACAGTATTGATTGATAAGTGAGATCTGATTTTAGTTCTTGAAAACCAAAAAATTAGTGCAAGTCCTTGAACGTCCTGGAATTTTATTTTGCAGTATCTGTACGAACCCTGCTTAAGTTACCAGTTCTTGGACCATTTTAATGTTTCTGTTGTTGTTAATTGAACCCAACTGTAGTTTTCTGTAGTAAACTGTCTTTGTATATTTCCTATTTTATATTAATTTCCTAGTATTTAATTTACCATTATTTCTTTTGAACAAAACAATCTCAGAAATTTCATGTTTTAGATTGTAGGTCATCTTGTACACGGAAAAAAGTTCAGGCTCAGGATTTTTTTTTGCTTTAACCCCTGCATATAGTTGTGACTCAAATATGTTTGTGTAACAATGTAAATAGCAAGGATTTTTTTGGAGGTGAAATGTTGTGTCTTTCTGTGTAGATCATTCGTAAAGTGGACAAGCAGACAGCGCTAATGGATGCCGATGATCCTGTGTCCCAACTACATAAATGTGCCTTCTACCTTAAAGATACAGAGAGGATGTATCTCTGCCTGTCACAAGAGAGGATAATTCAGTTCCAGGTCAGTCCACCGGTACTTCTAGAAATGTGCTTTTGCGGCATAGATTTGAATTAATGCCCTATAATTGATGAAAACATGACATCTGTTAGAATTGCAATTCCTGTTTTTTAAATTAGTCTTTGAATTCTCATCTTCTTAATGGTTTTGAGGCTCTGTAGCCTTTTAAATGTTAAATAATTGAAATAGTTTCCTTCTACTCTCAGGCCACACCCTGTCCCAAAGAAACGAACAAAGAAATGGTTTTTCACCTTTTTCAGTTTTATAACATATAGTAAACTTTTGTTACCAAATAGTTTTGTATATTTCTTGTGAGCGTTTGGGCTCAGAAGGAAAAGGTTCATGCATTTTAAAAGCCTGAACTTATAGCTGCCTTTACTCGTCTTGGCAAATGCCTTAAGTCATCTGGAGTTTCACCAGACCCTTTCTGTTTTGTAATTATTTTATGTCATGTATATTGATCTTTTTCCCATTCTTTTTTTTTTCCCCACTAAACCGAGATGTAATATTGATGCCATTTTTGTGTATTTGGGAGAAGGTGGCTCTACTGCTTTGTTAAACTTTTTTTTTTTTTTTCATATGAAGTCTTTAACACAAAAGCTTTAACTGACTTTGCCGGTTGGCCTTATGTGCCATATCGTAATCATCACATAAGCGTAGCCATTGATTTGGCCCTTTTTCATTGGCTATAGATGTTCAAGCTGCCAACACAATGGTAACCTATAAAAATCCCACACCAAATGGCTTACATTTCGTTTAACAAACGCACAAATATCCTTTTAATGGGTTAGCGATTTCTAATTAATTGGTCGACTCAAATCCTGTGGTAGGGAAGGACTGTTTAGTTCTCGTTTGCATATCATTCACGCTTTCAGTGTCACGATTACTGTTAGTATCAGACAAATCAGCATGTAGAAAAACTGCTGCTTTGTTGTCATGTGGTTAAACCATATAGAGAAGGAATTGTGGGGATTCTGTAAGTACAGTCATGTTACAAGTAGCTTGAATTAATGAAAGTTTGGATTCTCTGTGTTTCTAGATGGGGATGTCCAAACTTACTTCTTTTCAGAATCAACTAATTTAGGGCCAGATTTACAAACTCTTTTTTTGGTGTTAAAAAACTACTGTCAGGATTTACTAAAGACACAGTGGAAAAATTGATGAAAAGGCATGGACACGGTTATTTTATGCATTTGTAGGCATTTCCCTTTAAGACACAAAATTAATGGGAAGAGAGGATTTTAGGTTTGTGGTAGTCAGTTAACCATTATTTAACACCCAAAAAAGCATGTCTTAACCTGTTTTGCGCTTGATAGTTTGCTTGTGGTAGATTGCGTTGGTCATTGGAAATGTTAATTTGCACATTGTCAGTAGATCACCCACAAAACTTTCCACTCCTGTCAGCGCTTTTATGGTATTGTGGTCTGACACTAATTTTCCTTAGTAAATCTGACACTTAACGGGTTGCCTGACACGCTCGTCGACTAATCTGTTTTATAGTTGGTTAAGTTTTTAACTAAACGTGGCATCACTTGTACTGGGATACTCAAATGGTTGTAATGAATGTGTATGGATGTACTAAAAATCTAGATAATCTAGTCAACCTCACTAACTGACTAGCTTGTTTTTGGACCCATCCCTGCATGTAGTCAACTAGATTATCTGTGTCAAGCTGAATGGAAAGAACCGGAATCTTATCCTGCCTTTCATATATTTTGACTGCAGAAGTGGCACGGCCTTTGTGAGCATCACTGCTACATAAAAATGTGCCCTTTTAAATTGATGTCACTCACATGCAATTTTTTTTAATCAAATGTTTAGTACCAAATGCTCACTTCTGTAATAGCTGTAGTCTAAAGCAAACTAAAAATGAGGCCTTAAACCACTACTGCTTAATAACAGGATCTGTTGGTAAAATGTTACACTACAAATTGTCCTTTTGTGAAAAGGGCATGATTGTTTGTTTATACCTTTTTTCATTATAATTCACAGAGCAAACTCAATTCTGCTATTTCTGTGCTTCTTATTTTCTTTCCTTGTACTTTTCCCGCCCCACACAACTCTGTATGCATCGTCTGATCAGAGAGAAAGAGACACTTGTGAAATAGCATGCTCTGGAATTCCCTTTTAATCAGTATGGACTGCATTTTGTTATTGTTTGGGATTATATAGGAACGGCAGAAGTAGTTCCTCAGTGGTTTTGGTTCTTTTAATTTATCCGTTTCTAACATGGCTAATATTAATATATGAGTCTAAATGTTATATTGATTATTTTATGTAACATTGTATTACATTTAATGGTTATGTTAATATTTCTAAATATTTCTTCCATGATTGAGGGAAAGTTACTATGAAACTTTTGTATATTATTATTTTTAAGTAGTCAGGCCATGTTTGGTCTGCATTAGAAACTGTTGCTTTGGAAGAAATAAAAGCCAAAACCCAGTAATTCTTGCAAAGCCATTTACTAGTATCTACTGTGAGCAATTCCTCAATCAGGGAAGAATATTAAAGCATACCTTGTGCAACTGCCGAAATGGAAACTGCCAAATCTAAAGGTCAAATTGTGAAGGTCACGCCTAACTTTTCCACTTTTGTTTTCAGTGTTATTTTCCTCTTGTATCCAGTTGTCTTCCAGTGTGTTCGAATCAGAGGACCTGATCAAGACTAACCATGTTGAGTTTTATCATTTCTATCTATCACACAAGTTAGTTAGTTTGCCTGTCACCTGTGCCACTGTGCTTACATTGAACAGAAACTAGCGTGTTAGATCACGGTTATCTTTGTCGGTTTTGTCTGTAGAAAGAAAAAAAAAAGGGTGAGAATTGGTGTCTGTTTTCTCAACCGTTTCAGTGGATTGTTTTACATTTTGGACGTTACCAGCCTTTGCCAAATGGCTACCAGCTGTTCTGGTTTTGAGTGCATGCTCTCTAGCAGATTTGAACTGTATTGGTGCTGTCTAACTCCTAAAGGGCCAGTGTATCTGTTGCTTTTGGAATGGATCACTAAACACTGTAATAGATTCAAAAAGTGTCAGGTTGTTCATTTGTTTTTGTCTTTACGGTGCTAAATTGCATAATACACACCCATCAAGGACGTGTGGTACGGAGATTGCAGTACTGCCAAATGACTACTGTGTGCGTAAAGGGATAGTTCTGTCATCCTTTGCTCACCCTCATGTCATTCCAAAACTGTATGAGTTTTGTTTTTCTATGGAACACAACAGAATATATTTTAAGGAATGTTTTGGCTGTTTTTGCCAATACAATGAAAGTCAGTGGGATCTGAAAAATGCTGGACCTATTGACTTTTATTGTATGGACGAAATAATAAATGAATATAAATTGTATACATATATAAAAAAAGTGTACACACACACACAAGCTGTTAAAAATATGGAAAAATTAGCATGTTTTTGAAAGAAGTATGCTCACCAAGGCTGCATTTTTTTTATTAAAAATACAATACAAATAGTAATCCTGTGAAATGTTTTCTATATTGAATGCATTTTAAAATGCAATCTATTTCTGTGAGCAGCCATTGCTCTAGTCTTCAGTGTCACATGATCCTTCAGAAATCATCCTGTTATTCTGATTTGGTTGTCAATCATGAATAATGGTTCTTATTATCAGTGTTTTGCTGCTTACATTTTTTTGTGAAAACCACGATTCATTTTTTTTTCAGGATTCTTTGAGGAATAGAATGTTCTAAAGCATTTGTTAAATTGAAATATTTTGTTATATTGTAAATGTGTATTCTGTCACTTCTGATATATATTGATGCATATTAAAAAGACTTCAGAAGGATCCTGTGACACTGAAGACTGCAGTAATGGCTGCTAAAAATTCAGTTTTGCCATCATAGAATTAAAATACATTTTAAAATAAGAAATAGAATGATTGTTTTAAATTGCAAAAAAATATTTCACAGTATTACTATTTTTACTGTATTTTTGATCAAATAAATGCAACCCTGGTGAACAGACTATTAAAACCATTTTCAGTCTAGTTTTGAGTACAAATGTCCTGATCAAATAGTAAGTTAATCAGATGCTAAATATAACAAACAGTTAATAAACAGTTACTTGTTGCTTCATACGATTTTTATATGATTAATTAAAAAAAGTGTTTCTTAGAGAACTCTAGGGGAATCCCCAGTTTAGTCAGGCAGCGCTGCAGTGCAGGAAACGCTACAGTATAGCAGTATGGTGATATACCATTCCGAACATACCCACTGTTTACCACTCTCACTGCTCGCAATATAAATTGAGATGCTAGTCTTCACAGTAGGGAAGTGGGCTGACTTACATTGTGGTGTGCCAACAACAAATTGCACCTCAACACCACAAAGGCTCTTGAAATGATAATTGATCCGAACAAGCAAATCTGTTCACACTCTGCAGTTATTATGGTGAAATCCCATAAATTCTTTTTTAAACATCACCAACACTAACCAGAGGGAAAGAAACATCAAACAGACAGCTTAAAACACACATACAACCAAGCCCATGTTTTAAAGTCAACAAGAACATTTTGTGCTAAATGATACATCATGAGAAACCAAGCCTACAGAATGTATTTTTTCCATTATAGATTGATGACATCTATGCTGGCCACCAGGGGCAGAAATGAGATGGTGTTTCTAATATTCACTTTGAAGTGAGTTTGCCCTGAATTACAATGACAGACACCTGTCACTTGTACATGCTTCAAGGGCCAAACCTTTCCCCCACTGCTTGGCATCCACTCGCTCAAGCCCCAGTTTTATTTTTGGACCATATGAGGTTGTTGAGGTGTAACTTGAAACTTTCTTTCTGTTGCCATTTCTGAGTGTATGAGTCGCAGACCATGTTAATCTGATAGGGCTCTAAATTTAATCCTGAGGCCAGGATTGTGTGCGTGTTTGTGCATTGAGTGCGTGTGTGTACGTGTAGGCCTATATGAGAGAGTAAATGTGGCGTTTAACTGTGAAAGCCCTCCAAATTGAAGTTCTTGATTAATGCTTATTAATAGAGATTTCCTAATATTGTCTAACTAGCTTTCCATAACTCTAGAGTTGGGTGTTGAGATGCTCACAAATAAAAAATAAAAATAAAATATATATATATATATATACTCTTGAAATAAGTAAATTGACAAGAAAACAATATCATAAACCATTTTAGTCACTTCAAGACACAAATTAATTCACAAATTAAAGCTGTTCATTACAAGTAAGTTTTGTATGAATTGCATTTTTATTAGTTTTGAACAATATCCGTACCCATTATTGAATATTTGATTACATGATTATTATTAATGTTTTAATACTGACGTTTCTCCTAAAGTTCTTGGATCGTCCAATCACATAAACGAATTAATATTCATGCAGTTAACGTCTACCTCTCAGCAAATCAGTTTATTTGGCAAGCGCACGCAATCTAATTAATATTCATGAGTCAAACGCCGCTTAAGAGTTAGTGAACTCGCTATTTGGCATTAGAAGAGCAGACGCACGCAAAATGCGAGCACACAAAGTTTGGTGACATTTAGTAACTAGCACACTTTCATGGACACTCATTATCCAAACGTTCCTAAAGAGAAGTAGGCTACTATCGCTTCTTCAGAAGCAACTTCGTTCATAAGGAACCCGGCTTTCGGAAGGACTTCTATTCTTTGTCGTCGTATTTTTGTTTTGGACTCCGTGTTTTTAAAGTGGAATACATTATTTCGTTAACTTTTTATTATTCAGTTTACTTTGCTTTTCCATTGCTTTGGGATATAACAAGAAAACCGTTTTTGGAAAACTTTTGGGATGTATGTTTAAATGCTGTGATTTTACTTTGCGGTTGCAAACAAACATTTCGAATAGTTTCTCTTTTTTGTGAAATGCCTACACTGTTGCTTTTCTAACCGGTGCGCCAAAGCTTTTCTTGGAGCTGGAGCTGTTTATAGCATCACTATCACGTAACGTTGCATTTGGACGCACATGTGTTTTTTAAATCATAGTCAGTAAGCGGCACTTGAACCCTGCGATGCATAAGTTCTGCCTCACCGTACTGCTCGTGCTGCGCGGACTCATCATCTGCATCTGTTCCAGCGATGAACCGCAGCACCCTGGACTGTACAAGCACACGACTGTGACCTCAACAGGCACGTGTGCACCACCAAATATATACAAATAATATAAAAACATTCGCTAAACCTCAGACTGCTTACTGCACATTTTGAAGATCCATGAAATGGATAGTGAAATGGTAACGTGTTGACATTGCAAATGTTTATTGGATTACTTAACTCTTCTGTCCATTTTTGATCACAGATCCATGTCTGCAGGTGAGCCCTCCTTGTATAACAGAGGCTGACCGTTTCAGCCTGGAGGCTCTTCAGCACATCCACAGAGAGATGGATGATGATCAGGATGGAGGCATTGAGGTGGAGGAGAGTGTTGAGGTAATCAGCATTCACAGATGTTTACAAGAACACAATCACAAGTCAGAAGTTTCCTCACACCCTAATGTGAATCCTGCTGGGTTTCCACACTTCCTGGCCAATGAAGTTTCATGAAATTTACATTTAAATAGAGGAGAAAAGCGCAGTTGAAACAGCTGATTAAATATTTTATAAATTTATCATAACTATACATATTTTTAAGAATATATTTTCAAAGTCTTTAAACAAGAGCTGCACATTTAAACAAAATAAAACTAAAACTGTAAAATAGCTTAGTGCAATTATCACAAAGGCTGCAATTTAACTAAATAAATATATGCTCTGCGTGTTAGGCATAATTTGAAACATTTGAAAATGAAGAAATTAAGACAGACATAAATATTAGTATTGTAATTTTACAGCTGTATTGTAAAATACAATTGTTATATTGCTTTTCTTTAATATTTAATTAATTTTACAGTGAGAAATTACAAGAATAATATTTCTTATTTTGGTTTTTATATTTAATAGTAGCAGTAGTTATAATTCTTCTTTATCATCATTATTATTAGTATACAGCCAAATTGAGAGATATATATATATATATATAGATATATATCACTAAATTTCATCCAAACTGTGCAGCCCTGCAAACAAACACAGCAGACCTGGAATTTTTCTGTGAATATTGTGAAACATATTGACGTTTCAACTGCATCTAAAATGTAAACTTTAGAAATCCATAAAATCCTTTATATTCTGTTTGTATTATAAATCTAATCTAATCTAATATATAATCTTATATAATCTAATCTAATTTTATATAATCTAATCTATATAATCTAATCTAATCTAATCTATATATATATATAATATTAAGAGTGGCTGTATTTACAATTCTACACTAACCACACACACACACAAGCATGCATATATACATACATATATATATATATATATATAGATCATTTTGAGCCTCTAATCCCACCCTTACCCTAAACAAACCACTTCTCAACAGTTAAAAATTTAATTTTTTAAATAGAATTTTTTCAGAAAAAACAGCCAATATTCCAGTATTCAAAATCATGCAGCCCTACTTGAAATCATAATCATGTGCTTAATTATTCTTTCCTCTTGTATTACATTTTGTTGCTGCTAACTGAACAAGTGGTGGAGTAACATGAATGTATTAGTAGGAGGATGTAAAACGTCTAAACTCACACTCAGACTAACAAGCTCAGCTTTACCATTGGTATGTTTATGTGATGTTTGTGTAAGAGCTGAAGTGTTATGCCAGAGCACCCTTGAGTTTCTCTCCTGAGCCTGTTGGTCAATTTAGAAACGCATGTTTCCACCCAGCACCTAAGACAAACTGTTCAGGCTTGGCACTGCGAGAACATAGCAGAGGGGTATGAGTTTCTAAGTAATGTCCTGAAGTACGTCCGAGTCTCTGGTATTGGGTTACTTTTCCTTGTTGCTATAGATATGGCTTAGGTAGATGTAGGCAGCGAAGAAGCCTGGAATCACGTGGTGCATCTGATTACAGCAGAGACAGATGCCAAAACGCATTCACAGACTCAAGTGACTCTTTTGATCTTGAATGTTTACTCAGCTGTTGTTTTAAGTGTGTCACTGCATTTGTAGGATTTGTGTAAGTTCATTTAAATCAATTACTCTTGCATCCATATCTCTTCTTTGTTTCTTACTGTAGTTCATCATTGAAGATATGCAGCAGCAGCAACAGGCAAACAAACACAGTAAACTCCATCATGAGGACCAGCATATCACTTTGGAGGAGCTTTGGAAGGGCTGGAAATCTTCTGAGGGTAAGATGGTCTCCATGATTGAGTCTTGCCATGGTTTCAATGTAAAATAGTCACTTTCTTCCTCTCTTTTGGCTTTTTCTCTGCTTTCTTTCACTCTGTTAGTTCATAACTGGACTCAGGAGGATGTCTTGAGGTGGTTAAGAGAGTTTGTTGAGTTGCCTCAGTACGAAAAGAGCTTCAAAGAGCTGCATGTCAATGGGAACACCTTGCCCAGGTGAGACAAATCAAGACTGAACCAAATGAAAATTCAGCCTGGAATCATTTTAAATTTGTCTAAAGTTTTGGTAAGTGCCCACTCATATCAGCCTGATCTCATTAGTGTTCATTCGACAGGCATTTGCACCTAACATTTTTGTATGTTTGGATAGATATTGAAATATACACTATAGATGTTTCAACAGCATCTAAAATGTAAATGCACAGCTTTATAAATGTAAAATTCTTACAAATCCTTATATACTATTTATAAATATAAAATCACATATATAGATCATTTTTAGCCAAACCAAATTCACAATAGTTAAAAACTTTATAGGCATATCAATTTACAGTGGTAATCACAGTTACAATAAACTACTATAGATATTTTTAACAGCACGAGAAATCACAGAAAACAGAATGAAAACGTTATAGTGCAAAATTAGGTAAGTGCATTAAATAAATGTGATACTACCTTTCAAAAATACAGAAAAAACTTTGAAAAAGTAAGATGATTTAAAATAACTCTTTTCTATTTTAATATATATTAAAATGCAATTTATTCCTGTGATGCAAAGCTGACTGTTCAGCGGCCATCACTCCAGTCTCCAGTGTCCCATGATCAGAAATCATTTTGATGTTGATTTGCTGCTCAAGAAACGTTTTCTTATTATCAAAGTTGAAGACTGTTGTGCTGCTTCATATTTTTGTGGAAACTGTGATAATTATGATTCTTTGATGAATAGAAAGTTCAAAAGAACAGTATTTATTTAAAATAGAGATCTTTTGTAACATTATAAAAAGTCTTTACTTTGATCAAATTTAATGCACAAGTGCTGAATATAAGAATTCATTTCTTTAAAAACTACCATTCAAATGTTTGGGTTCAGCAAAATTAATGTATTTACTTAATCTAATTGATAAAGTGAAATAGCTAATCGTTTTTTGCTTTGTATTTACAGGATTGCTTCCAATGAGCCATCATTTATGAGCACATATCTGAAGATCCAGGACCAGCAACACAAACAAAAACTCAAGCTCAAAGCCCTGGATGTAGTGCTGTTTGGCCCACCTACACGTATGTATACACCTTACATATATTGACAAAGAATGTAATTATTTTTAAACAGCCATGTTTCAAACTGTTATACATTCAAGATATGAACATTTCAGTGCCTGATCAACATAAGCTCTTGTTAAAATTAATTATGAAGTCAAATTGCTACACTAAACAACTCCTAAATGTAGCCTTTTTGCACCCCGTTAGCAGTGATTCAGTTCATTGACTGAATTGTATGCGTTGTATCATATTCTTTAATTGAAAATCAGATCATTAATTGACTGAAGCCACAGTATAATGTATTCTGATCAAACGGTTGTGGCTTTTTAAATGTCATTATTAAATATAGCTCTGACTGATGTGTATCATTTAAGCACATGTGAAATCAAATATCCATGCACGCCTGTTGAGAACACAGCAGAATGACTCTGAGTGTGTAAAATATATTCAGCACAGCAGATATACAGTCAGCATGCAAAATAAACACACAGTCAGTCGTCACATAATGTTTCATGTTTTATTGGCTGCCTGACTAATATCCCCATGTACCTTTGCTCCAGGACCCCCACACAACTGGATGAAAGACCTGGTTCTGATAGTGTCTGTAGTAATGGGGATTGGTGGATGCTGGTTTGCAAAAGTACAGAATAAAGCATCCAAGATACATATTTCAAAGATGATGAAGGACCTGGAAAGCTTGCAAAGAGCTGAACAAAGCCACAGAGACTTACAGGAGCAGTGAGTACATCTTCTAGATTTCTGAACATTCACATTCAGCAGGAGTTTTAACAATTCACCAAAAGAAATAAACTTCTGTCATGACAACTCTTGGAGGGATTGGCATGGTAATGTACATGACAATGTTAATGTATTTGGTCTTGGCGGAATAGATCTGCTACGCTGCTGCTGCAGAGCAAGTACCGAGACTTGTTACTGCCAATACATCCACAACATGCTGCTGTGAGTAGTGGTCGACCGATATTGGTTTTTTTGACAGCCGATGCCGATATCTTGGAAAGCAGGGTGGCCGATGGCCGATTTAATTTTATTTTAATTACTATTTAAGAAATTTGAAATCATTTGAAAATGGATTTAAAAATAAATGTGTAAAAAAAAAAAAAAAAAACATACTTATACTTTAGATGACAATGTATTTTTCACAAATAAATATTTAATAAAAAGTCAACATTGTAACCAACAGGGCACCAAGTAAGCTGGGAAGTTTGTGCATTGGGAATCATATTTTTTCAAATAAAGCCAAGGTAACAGTCATTTTACATACAACACACAGTGAAAATTACATGAATATGACAGTGGGCAAATGGATAAAGTGCAGCATAATTTGAAATCACGAGTTTAAATTGTCGATCGTGCATCTCCAGTGAGGCTGAACTCTCCTCCTGTCCACATTCAATTTGCACAGACCGACCGTCACGCAGAGCATACGCGATCATGCAGGATACAAATGCACACTTCACAAGATCTCAACTAGATTCGACTAAGTTTGCAAGGTTTGTGAAATTAAAATGTACATTAATAGACTTTCAAAGATTTGTTCAAATAATTTAGATGCGTATTTGCTGAGTGCTGACGGCAAACGAGACCATATTATAATGTTTGCTTTTCTATTACTAATAATATAAAAGCAATCGTTATAATACTTTTTTGTATACATTTTAATTCCTTTGTTTAACCATTCTATCTGACTATTAGACAGACTTCTATTCGTATTAGTGATGGGTCCTTCTTGAACTTTAATGTGACTCGGGAAGAACGAGTCATGTCGGGGAGTGGTTCTCACCTATAGGATGGTTCTGTACTGGAATTAGTGAAGTAGTTCACCTGTTTTGAGTCTTCGGGTTTTTCCGAGTCATTCGTTCCTCACATGACAGACCCATAAGCTTAACCTATGCAGTCTGAGCCGGTGTCATGAGAAATAGGCTGTGTTCGAAATGCCATACTATCATACTACTCTTATTATTTCTGCAGTATCCAGTATGTATGCTGTGCATAGTATGCACATTTTCTGTATGCATGTAATACCCGGATGACCTACTATATTAGCCAGAATCTGCTAAATATAACTCAAGTACACTGAAATCAGTACAGAAGCTGTTCGGAATGGCATACTACTATATTGCAGTATGCTGTGTGTATACTGTAAGCACTGCAAAAGACACTTGCATTTCCGAAGTTTCAGTGGCGCAGCAAGTAAAACGTGAGCCGTTTGCTTTTGACGCAGTCGACCCGAGTCCGATCCTGGCTTTTGTCAAACTCATGCTTCTCCTTTTCCCATCACATACCAGATCAGAAAGAAATTTATTTTCAATAAAAATTAAGTAAATATTTGAAAAGTGGAAATAAAACGCCTCAATAATACAGTGTTGGTTATGCTTTAGGTAGGTTTTTGTCCCAATAAAGTGGCATTCATCTAGTACAATTTATATATATATGATAATTTACACTCAGTATGTTATTACATACTGTTTTATAATGTACTACAGTATTGAGGTATACATATCTGCCACCTAACTACTATTTACACTCCTGTTGCTAAAGAAAACGCTGCTATTTTAGTGTAAACCAAATTGATCATTATTTGCACTTAGTGTAACTAGAATATATCACTTTTTAATATATCGCCACTTAGTGTAACTACCAAAAATATCAATAAAGACAGCTCAGTGTTGATTTAGTTCTGTCCAATA